AGCTGGGGTATCTGGGGTGGGGGTGGGGCTTCTTATTCTCAGGAATAGGGGAGAGGATGAGGGAGGGAGGGTGGGACTGGGAGAGTAGGAGGGAGGGGCCTATAACTGAGATGTAAATTGAATCAATTAATTAAAAAATAAGTACATTTAAAAAATAGCTTAAGGGAGAAGCAGTTTATTTTGGCACAGTCTATCATCGCAGGGATTCATGGCAGTGACAGGGAAGGCACTGGCAGGAGCAGGCAGCTAGGTGCACTGACTCCATAGTCAGGGAACTAAGGACAAAGAAGAAGAGCTAGGCGATAAAGACTCAAAGCCCGCCCCCAGTGAGACACACTTCCTCCAACGAGGCTCCACCTCTTAAAGGTGCCACAACCTTACCAAACTGCAACACCAGCTGGAGACCAAACTCTTGAGCCTAAGGGGGAATTTCACATCCAAACCAACACAGTAATAATTTGCCCTGTGAAGTAATCTAACTTTATGTACAGTAATGTTGACTTCAAGTAAACAGATGCACCATAACGTACAAATATGTACATTCATAGTTTCCTGGTGCTGTTCAATGACTTCCCCCTCATTTAATTCACATGATCATTCTGGGAGTGTGAGTGGAGAGTTATCATCACACTTGCTTTCTAGTGGGGCACTGAGAAGTTGAGGTGACTGGGAAAATAGATTCTAAATCAATTGACCCCAGCACTGTATTTCATCTGTCTAATATGTCCTAACTGAGCCTTTCATTTAAAGTAATAGTTGTTGTTAATATGAGCAACGGTATGATAGCTTACTACCATATTCGGATACAGTAAACCTGCAAGGAAATTTATCAGAAAACACAGCCTGGAAGGGCTTCATAAAGACACTTTCTTAAAATCATAAGACTCCTTGCTGTACATCATTCTGGTCAGTGCTGACTATTGCTAAGTACCCTGAACCTAAACTAGAATAAGGCTATTGTTATCTTAATTAGCTAGATGGACACCCACAGTTTTTTCTCAATTAGGATTCTTTGTGCTGAAAGCCTTGGTGAAGCATTGCTGTTCCCTGCTGGATTACCATTGCTGGCAGAGTGTTCTCAGGCCCTCTAGAGCACTTGCTGCAATGAAATGCCTTTCTTCTGTGAGGCCAACAGTTAAGAAAATGAAGGAGCAAGCAAATGTCAGATGAAAGTCACAAGTAACTACTTCCCCCTAAGTCCTAAGGTTTTGCTTGAGGTCTTTGGGAGATGGAGCTCATTAAGGGCATAGACATATATTACTTGATTTTTCTGCTAATAAAATAGTTCTTTATTGTTAAGACACAGTTAGACAGTTAAACAAACCACATCTTTGTCTTGTCACATGAGAGCCCTTGAAATTTAGAATTGACAAGGCTTAGACAAGTACTTGAACTCTGCGAGGATGAGGCGAGAAACGGGAGCAGGAAGGAGGTGAGTGGGCTGTTGCACCCGTGCACAGCGGTGTTCTGTGTCCATGAGCTCATCCTGTTATAGCACCTTGCATAGCGTGGTCACCCTGTGGCATTAAGTTGCACAACACAGAGGCATGTGGCATGTGCCTCATCCCGTAGCCTGGTGATTTGGAAGGTGGAGGCAGCCTGTGTCCTCGAGGTCTGTGTAGCTGCTTATAGAGTCTACTTGCCCAGGGCCCAGATTCTTGCCTGAAAGCCTGAGGTAGCCAGCCCTCTGCATTCAAGGCCTTCCCTTTAACAACTAAAAGGCGTGGGGCCTTTGTTTATAAATCCTACTATTAGTGGCGAATATCTGCAATTTTCCACCTGGTCTAATTATTACAGTATGACTATGTGAGACCCTTATAGTGTGTATTTACATATTTGCCTATTTGTAGTGAGTATTTACATATTTATACTGTATATTTACATATTTGCATTTTTGGGGTATATGTTTTTCTAATATACGTCTAATTTGATATACATTTATATACATCTAACTCAGTAGATTCAGGTCACCTTTCATTCTTACTGCTGAACCTTTGCTGGCCAAGGACATCCCTGACCTTCTTGCTGCCCAGTCCAGTGGCAGTTTCCAGCTGTTTCAGCCCTTTGTCTTTTAGGAGCAGCTGCTGCATTTTCCCTCCTTCTCAACTACTTCTTTCCTTCCACTTGGTTCCCTAAGACCTCTTCTCTTTTCTGTTCTGCACTCCAGGTTTTTGAATTTAAAAACCTGACCACTCTCCATTTTTCACTTCACCCAGACTGGTTCCCTGACTGTGCACTCAGTAACCCACTGGGTGAGGTCACCTGGATGTCACCTGATGTTCATAAGACTGAGCTTTTCAGATTCGGGGTCAGGAGCCTTATCACTTGAGCTAGCCAAGCCTTCAAGCCTGCGCTTTTAATCAGTACCCCAGACATCTGCTGTGGTCTACTAGAGCTCATGGACCAGCTGATCACTTGTTGAAGACAAAGCTCTTGGAACCATTCCTCTTTTCTTTCCTTACCTTTTTTCTGCACAGCAGCAAATATGTTTGGTACCTTCTCCGGAATCCCTCCAGAATCTGAGCACTTTCCCCACTCCTGTCACCCACTTTCAGGTCACTAAAATCCCTGGGCTGACTATCACAGCAGACTCCTCCCTTGCCCTTCTTCCAGACACTGTTGAGCTCGCTCACTCTCCAGCATGAGTCAGAACACCAGGCCTCTGCCCATTTCCATTGACTTGGTTCTCATCTTAGACTAAAAACCAGTGTCTATGTGATACCCTACATGGCCTCACCAACCTCTGCACTCATTTCCTATAATCTTTACTCCTTCCCTCTTCCTGCTGACTCACCAGCCAACAAAGGAGGTTCTTGCCCCTCTCTCTCACCCCAGGATTGTTCCCTCCTCAAGGGTCTTTGCTCCTATACATATATATCTAATATATATGGCTCGTATACATATATATCCAAGTTCTCGCACTCCAACTCTTACAGTCATCTGCTCCAGGGTGTGCTGTGTGCCAGCTGATCACCCTGCTGATCTTGTAGTCCCTCTCAGGAAGTTTTGGACTCTCTTGTGTCAATCCTGTGTCTCTTGACAGACCACCTCACCATCTGTCATACTGTTTCCCGTATCCCCATTTCTTTACCGTTCTCCAGTACAGTGTGAGTGTCAAAGGAACGTGGGTTTGTACTTTGTCCCCACGCCCCCATATGTCACAATAAACATTGTGGAATATGCAGAAAAGCCAACATGGCCATCGCTGCTTAACTCTCCGTCTCATTGGTTATAGATAGCGCTGTTATTAAGGTGTTGATTCCAAATGTTTCTCTTAGGGGTGACTAAAAATAAACATGTATTGTTTGAACTCCATTGTCAAATGCTCTCTGTTGCCTGTCTCTCCCCATGTGTTACACTCTGAAGTGTGTTGGGCTGATCTGTGCTGGGGTAAAGCAGGCAATTCTTTTCTCCCTGTGGGCAAATGCTGAAACGTGCTCCAGACGCCACACATTTATTACCAATATTTACATAGTGCTGGCTGTTCATTTTACCACTAGAGATCACAGGAATAAAATCTTCTCACACTGCACTAAATGCTTCCGTCAGCTACCAATGAAAGTAGAGACTCTGGGGATTTTTTCCCCTGGTTGAGTTATTACTTCATGCCTAGGCAGCAGCTATCTACTGTGTATTCATGAACTCATTCCATTTTCTCTTTGGTATAGTCTGTGTTATTTGCATGTGATTCACCCAGCACGGCCTGTCAGACTAGTTACTTTCTAGACCTTGTTGTGTGCTTTACAAGGTCTTTCCTTCAAGAGCAGCTTCAAAGAGCCTAGGTACCTGGCAGTTCTTGCTGACCGGGCTAGAAGAGGCCAAATGATTCATTTCGCTTTCAGGGAGCATTGCTGGTTTTCCATAGTCCCTGGCACTATAAATAGCGCTCCAGGGAGCACTGGGGCACTCAGGACATTTTCTTTGCAGTCTAGCTCGATATTTGCAGGAGAAAGTCACATGCTGTCTGGCTTGAGTCTTGTGTGGGTTCCACACAGACTCACCCAGTATGCTCTTCAGCTTACAAGCATTTGCTTCCAGCAAACACTATTGCCTTTGTTTATGTGAGGGGTGTGTGTGTGAGTGTGTGTGTGTGTGTGTGTGTGTGTGTGTTTATGTACCTGAAGGCCAAAGGTCAACATTGGGCGTCTTAATCAATTGCTTTTCATCTTATTTTGGGGGAAGTGTCTTGCCCTCATCCTGGAGCTCAGCTGGCTCTCAGTGAGTGCCGGTATCTCTCTGTCTTCTTCACCCCCTCCCCCATGCTGAGATTCCAAGCACACACAAATCACATTCTGCTCTTTCATGCAAGTAGTTTACTGACTGAGTGGTCTCTCCAGCCCTCTACTTGTTCAAATGACAAAGCTTTGTCTGAGTGCGGGGGTTCACCACTGTCTACTTGGCTTCACATGGTGGTTGGTATGGCTTTCTCCTCAGCGAAGTCAGCAGCTTCGTGCCACAGCTTAGTGTTTGGCCCAGGTTCATACTCTCATTAATTCTCTCTCTGTTCATATCCCACACTGTGAATCTTGAAGCCTCAGACTTCTGTGTTCTTCTTTTGTCCCCTAGCAGTTAACAAAAGAAATACCCAGAAACCTTTGGGAAGTGAACATGTCACTGCAATCACACAGGAGAATAGAATTTCTTTTATTTTATTTCCTATTTAAAAACTTTAGAAACAATCCTGTGTTTAGTTTGGACTTTCCTGTTTTCCCTAACAAATATCCTGTGCTATGCTCTCAGCCAATTTGAGAAAGAAAAGTTGTTATATTTAAATATCTGGGGCTTGTTGTTGTTGTTTCTGTTTTGTTTTATTCTTTTTTTTTTAAACCCCAAAGAAACAGGCCATTTTGTTCTCCTCAAAATCAGTGACATCCTTCTTCCCAATAATCTGTTTGCCCTGCTGAGACTTCCTTCAAATGGCTAAGGTCTGCTGTCAACAATGATTTCAGAGCGGTTGTATGTTCTTTGCAGTGAAAACACGCCTTGTTTTCTGTTGCTAGGCAACCCCCTTCCAGCTGCCATTGAAGAAATGTGCGGTGGTGGGAAACGGTGGGATTCTGAAGATGAGTGGCTGTGGCCGTCAAATAGATGAAGCAAATTTTGTCATGCGGTAAGAGCGAGCACCCACAGTGTGGCCTCTGACTTCTCTCCCTTTTCCCACCCCTTCCATAAGCCCTGGGGCCATTCAAACCTAGTGGCTGGCAATTAATCCCCTGTTGCCCATCTTTAGCTTCTTTTCAAGCCCTAGACAAGTGAGGTTAGGAGTGTGCTAAGGGGAGCGAGGGTCTCCAAGAAAGTTCAAAGCCGGGAAGGCTCCTGAAGCAGAGGAGCTTCTGCTGCTAATGAAGGCAGCAGAGAGAAGAAGTGGAGGGGCTCAGACTGTCCCTGAGATTATGTAGCTGGGTGATTAAAACCTTGAAAATTGCTCTTTCCTCAGGGCTAACTCTGTATGAATAAACATTTTAGTCATTGTAAGTGTACTGTTTTGTCTTAGTTTTCCACAAAAGCTTTTGAAAGGAACCAGTGGGATCTAAAGATTTAAAAGGTTTTGGTCTGCATGTGACTGCAACTGGCAAGAATGGGCAGGGAGGGAACTTCAGATAAAAAGGAAGGGACCACGCATGGGGATTTTGGGACATGAGCTTTTGTGAAGGACAAGAGGCCCTTTCAGGGCAGTGATAAAAATTGCTAAGCTTGACCAAGGGAAGACACCTTCAGGCTGGAGTCCGGCAGCCTAGTGCTGGGTGAGTCTGAGCAAAAGCTGCTGAGGCCAGCACATGGCTGCTGGATCAGATGGAGGTTGTCTGGTTAAGGAAGAAAGGTGGAGTGTCAAGAAGGAGGGCTCTAGGTAGAAGTCCTGTAAGGCGACACATCCGGAAGCCTAGTCACGCTAAGGAGTGGGCGCTGCAATGAGGTACCGTGGTGTAAGGAGCAAGTGACAGGGCCACGCAGGGTGGGCTTGTGGAGTGGAGGTGCTGGGCTGGTGGGATGTGGAACAGTTAATGAGCTCAAGCTTAACTGTGGCCCCTGGAATATGGAGCTCAGTGTGTCTGAGACACAGTGTGGAAACAAAAGAACACCGGGAGGTTGGGAGAATCTTTCAGGCGAACCCCAGGATTTCAAAGACATGGGAATGACTATGAGACAGGATTCTGTAACCAGGTAGGACTTAAATTCAACTCTTGGCATCCACCTGAAAATCTAGGCATAGTCATAATCCCAGAGCTAGGGAGGTGCAGACCGGAGGATGCCTGGGGCTTCTAGAGCAGCCAGTCTAGCTGGATTGATGTGCTTCAGGCTCAGTGAGAGACCTTGCCTCAAAATATATGCTGGAGGGTGGATGCAGAAGACACTGTTGTAGACCTCTAGTCTTTACATGCACACACACACACACACACACACACACACACACACTCTCACACACTATGCAGGATGGGGGTGGGGCTCTAAGAATTCTAAACCAAACTGGAGCTCTGAGCTGTTTGGGAGCATTTCAGATGGAGGCAATTTCCTAGAGAATTCTACATACCCTCTCAGGGAAGAGTTGCTTTGCCATCAAGGCATGTTCTTACTTTGTGAAACTTGTAGCAGTGGGGATGTGGGTTTATGGGTGCCGAGTATGTGTGAGGGAGAGTGAGTGTCCTTCCATTCCTGACTTTGCTTCAATTGTACTCTAATGTAATTTTTCCACTGAAGAGTTGTGTTTTCTTCTCCACTGCTGATTATTTTCTTAAAACAAAATAAAAAAAATTTCAAATCTTCGTAATGTGTACAAATCATAAAGAAAAGGAGTGGAGAACTTTGAATTTAAGACAGCATAGCCCTTGATGCAGGAGAGGCACTAGCGCCAAATCCTTTTATTGCTGAAGAACAAGGTTTTAATACATGCTAAATCAGAGAAAGGTTTCATGGAGCAACCTCTACAGCTCCAGTGAGTGCTGCTTGGGTGTCACGAAATGTGGAAGAAGGCATAGGAGAAGTATTTTTAAGTCGTAGGAGTGCATAAAATCTCATGGGCGGCAGAGGCAGATGAGACTAACAGGGAACCCCAACTTATGTCAGACACCGCTCCAATCCCCGGGTATGACGTGAGGCTGAAGAGCTAATCACGAGCACAGAGTTGAGAGGTCATGCTAGCACAGATGACCAGGTGAGAGCCCTCCACAGTATTATTTTACCTCTGCCTGGGCTGTTTGAGGAGAGAGAAGGAAACTGCCCTTCGTGGCCCCTGACTTCATCTGTAGTTCTATGAATACTGTGTCATTGTGTCGTTTGCATCCTTTTCAAAACTTCAACTTGCTCTTGAGCACAGATGAGGTGCTTTCTCCAGTTATTAAGTGAAGAAGCGTAGTGGAGCAAGAGCCTGGTGCAGCAGCTCAAGCAGACTGTGCAGTCCCATGCTCTGTCCACCACTGACCTGCCGCTGTCTTAGTTCTCGCCCCGTCCAGCAAGCTGGTCCATCGTGCTGAGTCTTCCCTTAGTGTTACTTCTTCATCCGGGAGGGTGCACACTTGCCCTCATGGATAACTGCCCTTGTTCAGGGCAGGAGGCCAGCCCTACAAGGTTTTATTGGCCTAGAACAAAGGGCTAAGAACTGTGACTTTCTTTTGCTGTAGCATCTAAAGTATGGGCACAAGATGCCAGTCGCTCTCTCCTCCTGCTCTCAAGGAGGGGAGAGCCCAAGGGGGAAGTCAAGCTTTTTAGCAAAAGCAAATTCTGTTGCTCCTGGTGTATGTACATATGTGTGTATGTGTTTGTGTGTCTGTAATGTGTATATGTGTGTATATATGTTTGTCTCTGTGTGTTTGTGTGTACATGTGTTTGTGAGTGAGTGTGTGTGTGTGGGGTGTGTGTGACTACCATTAATAAGATGAATATTTCAATCTGACATGTAGAAGGGAGATCGTAAGCACCATACGGGATTATCTCATGGTGCCCCACTTATCCCAAATGGACACAACCTGCTTGGCCTTTTCCACAGTCTACTGTCGATGCTATACAAGGTCAGAACTATTGAGTACCTGGGATTAGACCTCACTGCACAGCCTTCAGTGTGATGCTCACAGAATGAGGGAAGGGTTGACGTGGACAAGAATTAGAGGAGATGCCATTGCGCTCAGAGCTGTGTGTCCATGCTCCTTTGATTTCCAGAACAGTGCTGTTTTCATAATGTATTCAAAATGTTAAAAAGTTTAGCTTTGGCTAGTAAGTGGGAGCACCGTGTTACTTGATACTGTTGTGCAGTGTGCGATGCTGGTGGTCAGAGGACACCATTATGAAGTTGGACCCCTCCTCCCATCTTTACGTGTCCCAGGCTTGTGTGACAGTTATCTCCAGCTACTGAGCCAACTCGCCAGCCCATGCGTGATAACTGATAAATTATTTTTAAAGTATGACTTGGCAACTGATAGACCTGTTGATGAACAGGAGTATAGCATACAGGTTGGGGCACAGCCAGAAAAGTAGTACACTGTTAGATCTTCAAAACGAAACCTTTACTGAGTAAGTGGGGGCCTTAGAAAGTGTGTGACATGGGCAAACGAAGTGGGGAAAAGGGTCTCCACATAGCCCTGCCTGTTGCTCCCTGACCGCAGGTGAGACTGTTCCCTGGGCCCGCCCTTCAACTGTTCCATCATGTACTTTTCATAGGCATTTTCTAAACATACGCTTCAAATGCTAGAAACTACTTTCCCATTTTCCAAAGTGCACACTTACTCTTTAACCAAAAGTAGCCCTTTAAAAATAACCCTGTGGGGCTGGGCTCTAGCTCAGTGGGTATCGTATTTGCAGAAAACTGGATTTGGTAGGGCACAACTCTAGTCCCAGTACCTGAGAGGTGAATCAGAAGTTTAAGGTCAGCCTTGTGAGTTTGAGGCGATCCTGGCCTGCAGGAGACACGGTCTCACAACAACAACAACAACAGCAACAGCAGCAAACTCTTAAATTCAGTTTCTCGAGAACACTTACAGGACAGATAATGGTTACATATTAAAGACAGACAGATCACAGCATGATGACATTCTTATGGATTGTGTGCAGAGGACTGTTCGGCACTTGAACACACACACACACACACACTGAGTCTCTTATTCAACTTGCCCATTCCTCATCAGTTCACGGAATTTCTCACTCTCCTGTGCCTGGCTGGCTTTCAGGATTATAAGCTTTACCACCATGGAGACACTTTAAGCCACTAATATCTCTCAGTTGTGCCAACAAGCAATAATGGGAAGTATGGGACGATTTACACAATTATGACTTATTAGAAACAATTTGACTGTGTTAAATGGGCCTTTTATGTAAATCCACGTAATTATCAATTTAGGGATCGAGGAGCTAAAATCATAGCTCACTGTTCCGAAGAAAAGAGATACAGGAAATGCCCCTGTTTTGGGGCTGGGAGAGAATATTTCCCTGGAACGAAGGCATGCTCTTCACCCCCATGCTCTGCCGTCAACTTTCAGAAAGCCACTCGTGAAACCTCTCTTGCTATGAGCACCCCTGCTCCCCCCATTACAGGAAAAGAATGGTTCTTTGAATTTCACTGTTGTTTTTGTTTTGGATTTGCTTATTTATTGACAAAATGTTTTTGGGGTTTTACTCTGTGGTAGAAGAAATAAATGGGTCCAGGCATATGAATCATGGAACACAGAAGAAAAAGAATATTTATGCATGAAAACTAATTTGTTATTGACAAAACAGGTTACAAGGACTCTCTGGCAAAGCTTAGAGCCCACAGTTAATTCTCAGACCTTAGCAAGGGCAGTCTAGATCAAAGCTTTCTTAAGAGGCAAGGCCCAGTCTTAGCTTGTAGTTTATTTGGGACGCCATCTTGTTTTTGCAAAGATCAGCTGAGTGAGATACCTTTCACACAAGCCTGGTGTGTGACTCATGATCAGTTGTATACTACAGTCTGACAGAGTCTGGTATTGATATCTGAGTCCACTCTTCCACAAGACTCCTCAGGACACCACACGGCAGATGATGTCACTGTGAGCTGGTAGATGGCTCAGGAGTGGGCTTTGTGACCGGCTTCCTCAGTAGCTTTCCCCAGTGCCCACTGATTGTTCTCAAGGAGCTCTCAACAAGTCACCATCTGGCAGATTGATCCATGTGTGAGTTCCAGAAAATCGAGTTTTTTCTTACCCACAAGCAGATGAAAGGGAGATTTTAAATCAACATGGAGCTGGTTCCGCCTGGATGGTCTGGTCTGGTGAGAGTCATGGGGCTCAGAAGAAAGAGAAGTTAGGGATGAGGACAGATCAGCTGACAGGTGTGTGACAGTTTCATCTCTCAGGTCACATTGTTGGGAAAACATAGCAGCTCGAAGAGACCACAATATTTGTAAAAACATCTTTTTTTTTTTTTAAATAAACAAATGATGCAATTAGACATGCTTTGATGTGGCAGGAGTCAAGTCAGGCATGGCTGGAGAGGAGAAAATTTGCAGTGTAGATACAAAATCAGATTTCTAACAATAGTTTTGAGTTCTCTCTGTCTCTGTCTCTCTCTCCTTTCTTTAAGCAGCAAAATAGCTACTTTTAGGCTAGGTCTCTTATCCTGGATGCTACAGGATTCAAAGCAAGCCTGAGTTACACAGTGAGTTTGAGGTCAGCCTGGGCTACATGAAACCTTGTGTCAAAAATAAAAATAAAACAAACAAACAAACAAACAAACACGGGCTTGAGAGATGGCCCAGCTGTTAGGAGTGTTTTGTGTTTAGTGCTCTTGAAGAGGATCAGGACTCAGAACCCACGTGTCAGTTCATAACTGCCTACAAATACAAACCCCCTTAGTATGTGGGGCCCAGGAAGGAAGGCAAAGTCATTACTCTAGTTTCAGGTCATGGAGAAACTACGGCCAGGGAAATGCATGAAATTCCTGATGCCCACAGGCAGCAAGCCACAGGTGTGGATATGAAACAGCTGAGTTTCCTACTGAATATACTCCTAAGGCATCATTACCAAGGGCATCAGCTGAATAGGGCTGGAGTGTGAGGGTGCTTGTAGGGTGACTGCTTTATTTCATGGAGAACACATCGCTGATGGCTCAGCTGGTAAAGTGTTAGTCATGCAAGTGTGTGGGTTTGAATTTCATCCCCTGAATCCTGAACCCCCCTCCCCCCCACTCCAACAAAAGCCAGGCATGGTAGCCCGGGTTTATAATCCCAGTGCTGTGGAAATGGAGACAGGAGGATGCCTGGAGCTCCCTGCCCAGCCAGTGCAGTTAAAGCAGTGATACCTTGTCTCAGAAAATAAGGTGGAAAGTGATTGAGGAAGACACTTAATGGTGACTTCTGGTTCCACCTGTGTGTGCACTTGTGGACACATGCCCATGCATGTTCATGTACACACACACACACACACACACACACACACACACACACACCACTTTTACTTTTTCCTTTGCAGCTTGTTGGGTGATGAAGTCCTATGTCATCCCCTTAATCAACCTCTACCTTGGCTGCATACACAAAAATCATTCACAAGTTAGCTGAATAGTATGTGACCCAGAAAGTGCTGCTACAATGTCCATTTAGAAATAGCATAATTTTCAGTGTTTATGTGGGTAGAGAGTATGTGTAGGGACATCTGCCTTCCACCTTCCGATCTCTCACTTCATATTTAAAATACTCTTTCTACCGCTTCAAATGTTCTTTCTATTTTCATTACTTATAAAGATTTATTTTTTTGTGAATTTGTGTTAGTGTATATGCATCACATGTGTGCAGGTACCAGCAAAGGCCAGAAGAGGGCGTCGGATCTGCTGGGTTTGTATTTGTAGGCAGTTATGAACTGACATGTGGGTTCTGAGTCCTGATCCTCTTCAAGAGCACTAAACACAAAACACTCCTAACAGCTGGGCCATCTCTCAAGCCCGTGTTTGTTTGTTTGTTTGTTTGTTTTATTTTTATTTTTGACACAAGGTTTCATGTAGCCCAGGCTGACCTCAAACTCACTGTGTAACCCAGGCTGGCTTTGAATCCTGTAGCCTCCAGGCTCCTGAGAGACCAAAAGATAAAGTAGCAGCTATTATTAAGACCTAAAGTAGGTTCGGTAAAGAAGTTAGTTTAGTAATGCCCTGAGAGGAGAGCTACCTCGCTGCATTCTTTCCCCACCCACTAGAGATATGGTTGCTAGGAAACTGGACCCTCCCCCTAGGGAGGGACACCTGGTCATGGTCAATGGTCTGGGAACCTTCCTATAGCCGATCGATTCAAAATGTAGCATCTTGACCAATAGATGCTTGCCAGGCAGGAATTGCCCCCTTGGGCATGCTGGGAGGGACCAGAATCTATAAATCATCCAACTAACCTGGGGACGGCGCGCTCAGCTCTCACCGCTTCAGCGGTGGGTGTTGTGGGTCCAAGCTGCAGCTTGTAATTTACAATAAAAAGACCCTCATGTGTTTTGCAACGAAGTCGATTCCTGTAGATCTTTTGGGGGCTTGCAAACTGGGTATAACACTCCCAAGTATGGATTGCAGGTAGATGACACCATGCTTCAGAAGTATATTCTTTCTTTTCAAGACAGGGTTCCTCAGTGTAGCCTTGGTTGTCATACAGTCTCTTTGTAGACCAGGCTGCCCTCAAACTCACCGTGATCTGCCTGCCTTTGCCTCCCTGAGTGCTGGGATTAGAGCCATGGCTCCAGAAGTATTTTCAACAAAACAGATACATTGTAGATACCATCTCTTCTCTTTGGAAGACCACCTACTTCTGTCACTGACATTTTCTTTTAAAACAGTAGACACACACACACACACACACACACAAATCCAACCAGCCAATCAACCCTTCCCCCAAGCATTTTGATGATTCTAATGGTTAATTAATCATCTAACGGCTATGAAAAGGGAAAGGTGCTGAAAACAGTTATTTGTGAATAGAGCCGGAATTAGCATTCCTATTTGTGTCCTTGTAAGCACTTGATTTAAAAGTCCGTGAGTCACTCTGAAATGTTGCTTCTTGCATTTCTAGGTGCAATCTTCCTCCCTTGTCAAGTGAGTACACCAGAGATGTCGGCTCCAAGACTCAGCTGGTGACAGCTAATCCCAGCATAATTCGCCAGAGGTAAGACTTGATGGTTTCTCTTTGTGGGGGACTAAAGAGGAAGGTTTGTGAAGTCATTAGCATCTTAAAGGGAGTGAGCATAATTCGGGCTCGCAAACAAAGAGGGAAGCCATCTGGACAGGCAGGAAGGATGGAGGAGGGATCGTAAATAAACTAGGCAGTGTTATGGGAGTCCTCGGCGTTTGATGCTTCCTCTGGGGTTTGGCTACTCTCTGCTAGAGATGGTGGAAATGACAGGGGGATTGATTGTTTTGCTCAGCACAGCACAGCATCCTGCCCACTCATTACTACTTCTATCCAGCGTGCTGGCTCCGGTCCGACTTTCTGATCAGCAACTGTGAACTGACTTATTAAAACAAAAACAAAGAAATGACCAATTTTCCACCCGCACACCTGGAGGCAGCTGTAACAGATTGACTACCCTGTATCAGACCTTGGGGGCAGATGGAAAATTCTTACTGGTCTCAGTTCAAGAAAACTTGACAACTACAATGAGAGTGTTTGGGGGGTCAGTCTCTAGGTGGTGAAGCCCCCTGGTGAGCTATGACTGTTTGGGGGGAAAGAGAGGACAGGGTACACCAATGACCCTGACCCACTGGATTTCAAACTTGTTTGTTCAAGTAGCACCCAAAATAATTTTTAAAGTACCGTCTTTTTCTTCATTGTAACCAGTTTATCTAATATTTTTGGCAGGAATTAAACTGTAGATTTTCAGTTCCTTATGTTTCTTACATGCTTTATGAAGACATTGTCAAAACCTGAGTACTTTTTGGTGTAACCTGTCCTTGCGTGAAAACCAGGGCTCTTTGTCAGATTTCTTTAGTAAGTTAACTCTCTGTCACAAAGACTGCCTGTTAGATTCAAGTAAGTGTTACAGTGACATTTGATAGAATCATCATCTTTCTGACACCTAATTATTCAACATGAAAATAAGATGTGGGGGCTTGCCAAGAGCCTGTCTGCTGAGTAAGATAAAGCACAGCCATTTTGGTTTCTTCTGGAGATAGTCTGGCCCCACCCCCACCCCACTCAGGAGTGGTCTCCTCACCTGTGTCCTTTTGTGACTTGGAGGTCTTTGCAACATCAGACTATATGCATTAATAAATATTTTCTTTTTGTTTCTCTCCCACCTCTTTTGTGTGTGTGTGTGTGTGTGTGTGTCTGTCTGTCTGTCTATTTGTGCCCACACTTGGAGGCTGGAGACTGACATTGGGTGTATTCCTCAATTAAGTTTTCATCTTAGTTTCTGAAACAGGGTCTCTAACTTCGGAGCTTGCTGATTAGCTGGATTGATGGGCAGGCCAGCAAGGCCACAGGACTGTCACATGTCTCCACAGTGTGGGGTTTCAGGTCCCCTCTGCTATACCTGGCTTTTATGTGTGCTGAGGATCCAAACTTAGCCCCTTACCGGTGGGAGCAAGTCTTAAAGCGAGCCCTTTACCCATTTCTTAGCAACACTTTTTGTACACACTTTTCAGAAAACATACCATGACTATTCAGGAAAGTAACTTGGCCCTAAAAAAGGTAAAGCAGTTTCTCCCTAAAGTTCATAACTTGAGTCTTAGATGGTGTTCCTGAGACTTGTGTCCCTTCTGCTGATTTCTTTCTTTCTTTCTTTCTTTCTTTCTTTCTTTCTTTCTTTCTTTCTTTCTTTCTTCCTTCCTTCCTTCCTTCCTCCCTCCCTCCCTCCCTCCCTCTCTCCCTCCCCCTCCCTCCTCCTCCTTTTCTTCCTTCCTTCCTTCCTTCCTTCCTTCCTTCCTTTCTCCCTCCCTCCCTCTCTCCCTCCCCTCCCTCCCTCTTCTTCCTTCCTTCCTTCCTTCCTTCCTTCCTTCCTTCCTTCCTTCCTTCCTCTCTCTCTTCTCTTCTCTTCTCTTCTCTTCTCTTCTCTTCTCTTCTCTTCTCTTCTCTTCTCTTCTCTTTTCTTTTCTTTTCTTTTCTTTTCTTTTCTTTTTCTTCTCTCCAAACCCAAGGCAGTGTTTTGCTGTTAGCACCAAGGGTTAGCCATTCAGTTTGATGTCTGTAGCATAGCAGGGAATTAGAAAGCAAAACCAAATACAACTAGAATCGAGCATAGCAGAGATGAGAAAGAAGTGTGTCGAGGAGGCATGATGCTTATGAGAGATGCAATATTCCAGTGGTGAGTAGCATAGGTGTTAGGAGCTGGGAATATAGCTCAGTGGTAGAGTGCTTGCCTAACACATACAAGGCCTTGGGCTCACTCCCTGGCACCACCTGCAAAGCAAAACTAAACAAAAGCAAAACTAATGGTAAGATGGCAGCGTGGTGTCATGGCAGCAGGAGCAGATAAGAGGTGCCACAGCTGGAGCTGACTCTGACTTTGTATGGGTAAATCAGGAAGCAGACAGCGGGGCTGGAAACAGGGCCTTCTATATCTCAAAACCTGTCCCAAACCTACTTCCTTAGTGAGACCTCCTAAAGATAGCACAACTTCCTCAGACACTATCACTGGCTGAGGACCAAGTGTTAAACTCACGCGCCTGTGGGAGACATTTCACATCAAGCCGTAACACTATTTAAAAGGAAAGATTCAGTTAGGACTGTCTACCCCATGTTTTGGTGATTCGGACACTGTGGTAGTGTGAATCAGATGTCCCAATAGTTTCAGCACTGAACTATTTGGTCCAGAATTGGTAACACTGTTTGGAGAATCCTAGGAGGTGTTACCACATTGGAGGAGGTAGGCCGCTGGAGAAGGGCTTTGCTAGTTTGAAGACTAATGCCGCCTCAAATTCTCTTCCTGCTGCCTTCTCATGGTTCAAGATGTGAACTTCCAGCTGCCATGCCTCCAGTCTGTCACCATAGACTCTTTTCCCTCTGGAACTCCACATAAGCTGTCCTCTGTCACGATTTGTCCCAGCAATAGAAAAGTAATGGATACAAATGGTAACAGAATAGAGGGAATTGTGAAACACACACACCTGATAAACATTATCAAATCCAAAGTGAGAGGCTTGCCGGCTACACATCAAGCTACACATCAAGCTCAGCGCGACTCCCTTTACATGATGAGCCAGCAGGAAAGAGGCCACAGGCCCCCGCAGGCTACTACAGGGAAGCTCTTTATTAAAGCATAATTGACAAGACCTCCTATTTCCAACCGGCTTGCATCTGTTTATTACAGAAGAATTCCACCACCAAACAATTGCTTACAGAGGTAGCTTCCAACTAGACCCTCCCCATGTCCTGCCTGGATAAACAGTGATTATGTCTGTCTAAGATAAGTTGTGGTGACTCGCTTTCCATATCTCTGCTTATATTGTTCCTCTTTTTCCTTTTTTTTTTACATCAATATATTCTGATATTTGGACTGCAAAGCTTTCTTTAAAGTCTGGAGATGACTTTTTTTTCACAGGAGGTTGAGTCGGTGTCTATGTCATGCCAGTTCCCATGTCTGCCCACTCTACGGCACGTGACCTCTGCCCTCTCTAATAGCGACCATGAAGCTCATGAGCCACCTTCTTGGCTTGGTTTCCATTTTGGAATCACCTTTCCCCAGCTGGGTCTAACCATCTGAAGGAGAGAGTAGCTGGAGAACACTTCCGCCATACCACCTTCCTTGCCCCAATACTTCTTCTTCATTCCTCTCCTCGCACCTAATAATATTCACTTCTCTTTCATGGAAGAAACAGAGATGAGAAGGCGCCATCAGGAGCCACAGTTTCTGTCATGTCACCTGTGGCGGCCACCATGCACTCACAATCACTGTGGCCCAGTCACTGGTGTCTTCCCACTGGGGAGGCGGTGAACCCATAGCTTCTCCACCTTTGAGGCTGGACGAACTGAAGGATCCTGGATGGTCTTCAGTCCTCACTGGACCCTGGGAACTCCTTATGCCTGTGCCATAGTCAGAAGGTGCGGCTCAGACTTAGGGATGGCCTTCCCCTGACTACCTAAGGCCAAGCGAAGCCCTCCTCATCCACATGCCCAGAGTCTTGCCTCACACTTGATTCCTGTGGTGGTTTGAATAAGATTTTTTTTCCCCCATAGGCAGAGCTGTTTGAACACTTGGCCAAGAGTCAGTGAGGAGTTAGTGGTGCTGTTTGGAGGAGTTGTGTAACCTTTAGGAGGTGGAGCCTAACGGTTGAAGACGTGTGTCACTGGGCAGGTTTCACTTCCAGTTCACACTGTCTGCTTCCTGTGTGAAGATGTGATCTCTCCTCATCCTGATCCAGTCACCCACTGCAGGCCTTCCTTGCTGTTATGGACTCTCCCTCTGGAACCTTAAGCCAAAATACACTCTTCCTTACCCTGATTTGGGGCATGGTGTTTTGTCACAACAAAAAATGTAGTTGATAAAAATCCATATCCAGTCAGGCTAACAACCAAGATTAGGCATCCCAGGGGCACAGACTCGGGGAGGGGCTAAGGGAGAGAGAGCAGCGCAAGCCTACATACCTTTTTGGAGCTGTCCACTGGTTTCCTGCCCCTGTGGTCCTCCAAGCATCAACTGACAGTTATTCCATCCCAGTAATTTTTATTCCCATATTTTAATAATCTGGCACTTTTTAAATGCACAGCAGTACAGTCTAAGCATCAGACCTTGTATATTATCACTAAGTAGAAGGGATTAACCTGTCCTTGACCATCTCAGACCCTTACACTCCATTTTGCATGCATGTGTATATGCATATTCACATGTAGTTTGAAAGTACTCGTGACATATGTATGCACACATGTGGGGCCAATGTTCACATCAGTTGCCGTCCTCGATCTGTCTCTACTTTGTCTATGGAGGCAGGTTCTCACTGAACTTGTAGCTTGCCAATTCCAGCCAGTCTAGCTAGTGACTAACACTAGGAATGCCATCTCACTTCTTGAGTGCACCACAGATGAGCTGGCACCGCTGGTGGGCTGGCACTGCAGGTCGGCTGGCGAACCAAGTGGCTTTGATGTGGGTTCTGGAGATCCAAACTCAGAACCTCACGCTTGTATGGCAAGTACTTTAGCCACCGAGTCATTTCTCTAGGCCCCTTCTTATT